ATCCATTATAAATCTATAATTTGTATTAATGATTACTTAATCTATTTATGAAGCCAAAAGTTAATCAAAATATCTCAATCTAGCTGATATTTTTAGTTAAATTGAATCATGTTTTTTTAAATCATCAAATATTAAAAGATCTTAATTGTCTCAGTGAATTATTTAAGTAACTAGATCCTTACAAAAATAAATTATTATTTATTAATTATTGTTTATTAATGAATCGACTCTTAATTACATAAACAGGTGAATAATTAAGAAATGAAATGAAATAATAAGCTTATTAATAACGAACAGAAAAACAAGTTAAAAAAAAGGAATAACGACTTCCAGAGCTTGTTCGTTAACCTACCAATTTATTAATCGATACTGAAAGAGATCATATTTTGTATCAAAAAACTCTGTCAGAAGTTGCCCTTTCTAATCTCAATAGAGTAGCCAGTCTTAGTTTATTGGGGTAAAAAAGCAAGAATAAATTGGAAACTCACATTAGAGAAGAGCTTAATCTACCCAATAACTTTTAATATTTAAATTAGAGTCTTGATAAGTAATTAAATAAGATTCTTTCAGATAAGGGTATGTACTAGCTTATGTTAAAGATTTGAAAACCAAGAGAAAAAGACATTTATTAACAGAATTAAAAAGAATTGAAAAAAAAAGAACAACTTCCCATAATGAAGATTTCTCAATATTCTCCTCGTGTATTGAAGACTATGATAAGAATCAAAAGATGACAGCCATTATCAATGCAGAAGGCAAATTGGCTTAATTAACGAGGAGATATAAGTAAAAAGAATTAAATGATTAAAAATTAAAGTTAAATCTAAATATTAGTTTAGAGAAAATGTAAGAACGTAAAAATATGAGAATTGAAGCTATTAATCCTCTGAGTCCTACTTAAATTAAAATAAATTCTTAGAGATAATTTGATGAAATGTTTTATGATAATTCAGAAGAAAGATTTCATAATAGATTACAAGAGAAACATGTAAAATAAATATGTTAGATATGGAATCAGTATTAATTTCCAAAATAAACAAAGCGTTGGATTTAATTTATCCAAAATGCGCAATAAAAAAAGAAATAGTGATTTATTATAATTTCATAAATACTATAATATCAAATAAAATTTGGTTTATCTTTACAATTTTAGCAGCATCATCTTTTGTAATTTCCCTTTTTTCAATTCAATTTAAGGTTTTTATTTAATAAAGTGATTGTTCATTTTATATTGCTTCATCAATTAACTTTTAAAATTCAGGATATAACATAATAGATGTTTATAAGATAGAGAGAAATGATTTAAATAAGACAAAAAATTTAGAATGAACATCAATAATTAGCTAATTATTGTAACCATAATATTACACTCAATGAGATATAATAATAAAAAAAATGATCTTAGAAAAAGAAAATAGATAATTAACAAAAACTAATGAATCTTTTTAAGATTGTAATAATTAAATAAAAATATTGAAAATCTTAGAGATCTATGAAGTTGATACTCATTTATCTTGGATAATATTTTATGTAAATAATTGAATAGGGGAGGAAACTTTAGAAAAATTAATCATTATATTTTAATATTAGTATGGATTCTTTGGAATGGTTTAAGAAAACAAGAATGATTGTAGGTGAGGATTTGTATTAAGTTATAAAAAGTAAAATGTAAATAGAACAACATTCAGTTAATGAAGTACTTACAAAGATTGGAGATAAAGGCAATAAATTCTATGTAATACTAAAGGGATTGGTTGGAGTTTTTGTAAGAAATGAAGATTAATTGACAATGATAAATGTATGTAAGGAGGGTGAAGGAATGGGTGAACTATCAATAATGTCTAATAAATCTAGAATGGCTACATTAGTATGTTTAACTGATTGTGTAATTTCTACTCTAACAGCATCTCAATATAAGAGATATGTTATGTAGAATGATATTCAGAGAATAAACAATCTAGTAGATCTATGTGATAAAGTGAGCCTATTTAATTCACTAAATAGGTAAGTAAAGATTATGTTGATGTTATGTATGAAGGAAGTTGAAATTGTAAGGAAATAAATTATTTACAAATAAGCTTAATAAGCTAAAAACTTGTATATTATAATTGAAGGCTCAATTAAATTATGCTTAAAGGAAGGTTCTAAACAGAAGACTCTATGTGTCATAAGTGATAATGAGATTTTTGGAGATTTGATGGGAAAAGAGGTATATCAAGAAACTGCAGAATGTGAATCTTAGAGTTGCAGACTGTTAATGATTAGCAGGAAAACGTACTTAATTTCTTATGTAGTTTACAGAAGGTTCTTCAATCAACTAATTCTTAAGGAATTCTGGAAGAAATGAAACAAATTGCACATATTAAATATTGTTTTAGAACTTAGTTAAAGGAAAGTACTTCTTTACTTTAATATGAATAATAAAATATATACGAACCTTTTGAATCCACTCGTACTTTGTTTTATTCTAATGGAATCTATTTGTCAGATAAAATGGTTATTAGATCTAATAGACATGTGATGCAATCAATCTTAAATAGAAGTAAAATTCGAAGACCAGTTATTTGTGTATCAGTTATTGAGAGAAAATCTAAATTAGATAGTGGTTTAAGGTTGTCGAGTTGTCACAAATGAATATATTTTATATATATATTTTAAAAATTTTAATGATTTAACTGTCTTCTGTAGAGAGAACAACTATGATAGAGTTGTTCTCTACATTTTTTGATCGTTTAAGTTCTCATAATCCTTAGAGAGAGTAAATGCTAAAATCATTATACTAATTTAAAGCATTACTATATGCAAACGATCCTGGAATAGAAAAATATTTACATGATCTATAAGGATAGAAATCTCCACTCAAAAGAGATAATTCATAAACTAAGAAATCTAGTAGTGTTAGAAAAGAACAAGAACCAATTATGAGACATCCTAAAAGAAAAACATTAGGATGTGGACATGAAATTGATATTGTCGATTCCTCTGGAGAATGTCTCGTATGTACAGCTTAATCAGTATATCTAATATTCTAAATAGCCTTTTGATGAATTTAAATCCAAATGTGCAAATGTCTTTAAAGTTTTACAATCTTTAGATAATGATGATTTCTTTAGATCTTTGTAATAATTAGATGTATTTCATACTTCTAATATTAGGATCCTTTGACTATCTCTCTATCTAAACAGAGGTGTTAATCTTCTACTGGAGAACTATTCAAAGACCCAATGAATTATTCCAGAATGGCATTAGCAGAATAACAAACCAATATTCAATAGATTATACGAAAATGTCTTCGATGTAATAAGGATATCCAAAATCATGATTCCAAAAATATTAGTTACTTCTGTAATTCTTGCAAAAACTTTTGATTTTCATTTTATTTAGAATTAGTTAAAATATTAATTAATTAAATTACCATTATCTTGAATCACATAACTATATCAATAAAATCTTATGATCCATTTATTAATATATTAAGCATCTTTTTTAATACCAAACAATTAATCTTAAATTCTTTTTTATATCTTGTTTTTTTTCTTTACTAATCAGCTTTTCTAATTTTTTTGAATATAGTTTTACTATCTAAAAATCTTAACTTAACATCATATACTGAAAGAATTTATTCTATTAAACTATTTTTTTATCTCATCCTAAAAAATAATTGTTATCCATTAAAATTAAGACCTTATATATTTTTATAACAATAATGAATATTAATTAATTAATCATATTCTGATTGAAAATAACTATTAAAGTTATTTAAAAAAAGATTAATTTTATAGTGATTACTTATACTAAAACTAATTAATAATGATTGATTTTTAATACTTTATATTTAAATTAATTGAATTTTCAAGTATTTAGAACACAACATAATTTGATTTTCCAAATATTTAGATTTTTAAAGAATTAAACAAATATTAATTTTGCAAGAATCTATTGTTCTTCAATTTCAATATTATACTTAGTTGATATGAGAATAAAATATTAATAATTTAAGAAATTTATTCTATTAAAAAATATAGGTTTAGAAACATATATTTACTTATCATTTGAGAATACAATTATTTTATAATATTTAAATAGCAATATGTTATATAAAAATTTGATTTAATAAATATCAATAGTGAAAATATATTTATTTCTGTTAGTTTAGTAAGAAAACTGAATTTGTTAATAAAAAATTTTCTGATTTTAATGATTATAATAATATTTATGTAATAATTAGAAGAGCTATTATAGAAACCAGAGATTTATGAAAATTTATCATTATTTAAGGACTTTTTAAAAGGAATTCAAAAATTATGTGATTAATTTGAAGATAAAATAAAAATGATTCCTAAATAGGAATTTTTGGATTAAGAGAAATCAAAAAAGGGAGTAGAAAAATAAATAAAGAAAAAGATAAAAAAGGGAGAAATAAAGAACTAGATGAACTAAAATATTCAAAAAGGGGAAGGTAATAATAAAAATTTATGATAGGGAAAGTATAATCAGATACAAAATAAGATTAAAATGAGAAATTATGCTTAAAGATAATTTTATTAATTAATTTAGACCTAAGATGATAGACCATAATTTGAAGATTAATAAAGAAATCCATCAGATCAATAATAAATAAACACAAAAAGCTAGTAAAAAAAATAGTAGAAAAATGTCAAAAGAGAAAAGGTGGTTTTGCCATAAATGGAGGAGGAGGATTCTTTTGGTGGGAATATTGTATAAGAATATTAATGAGTTTAATATAAGGAATTCGAAATTTATTAATTAACTACAGAAACATAATGGTTTTGGAATTTCATTTAGGCTAAAGTCTGTTTAAATGAATAAAGTATTTAATGACAGGTTGAAGTTCATGATAAATAAATCTTGGGCTCAGGCTTTGAATATAATTAACCTCATGATTGGCAATTATTTCATCTTAAGCAACTCTCACATTTATTTATTTTTTCTAGGGTCTAATTTACATAAGGGCCCTAGGAGATCTTCAAATTATCTAATCAACTTAAAAGGATTGTAGTTTGATATAAAGAGAATAACAATAGATAGAAATTTGGTAACGTTTAGAAGTAGTTATTCTATTTGAACTTGCTTTGAATATCTTATTAAATCTTTTATTCTTAATTTTCAGAAATAGATTTTTAAATCAGTTTATTCTAGGTTATCTGAATCCATGGTTCATTAAGGAGACAGTTGATAAAATAAATGTGATATATAATGACCTAGACTTAGAAGATTAATAATTCAAAAAGAGTTCTTAGTATAGTAAAAGAAGCCTTCAATTTGACGGCTCCTCCCATGAGAGTTTTAAATATAACATAATTAAGTCTTTTCTTAAAATTTAAGTTGATTAGAATTATACAAATGAATTGATAATCAATAAAATTATACTATAGTAGTTTATTAATATTCAATAATCAAAAGTTAGAAGTAAATATGATTTTATTCACAAGTAGTAACTGAATATTGTTCTAAAATTTAGTATAATATTTAAGTTTTAAATTTTCTTGTTTGGATAAAGATCTTTATTTAATTAATAAAATGAATGTAAGTAAAATAAATAAGATATTGATAAGTATCTTGCAGTTTCTACTTCAGATGGTAAATCTAATTAACTCTTTAATACTTGAAGATTCAGTTGAGTTCGTGAATTTTGAAATATTTGCACTCAAAAAAGTGAAATTATCCATTCTTTAAGATTTAAAAAATCTTTTGGATTTATGGATTTGATTAAATTGATCATCAAGACGATAAATTATTTATGAGTACTCTTCAGGGACATTCATTTACTATTAGATGATCAAATTCAATATTTTTGAGGTTTTTGATATTCAACAACCAAAAATCACAGTAAGGAGGCTTTTACAAATTATTTCAATCAAATATGTATTGTATTAATGAAAACTAACTTAGAATATGTTATTTTTTCATTAGGAATGTATTAACCTGAATTAGAAACTAATCAAATTGTATTTATAAATTATCATGAATTAAAAATAAAAAAACTAATAATGATTTAAATCTATTTATTTTACTTAATTTTAGAGGAGTGCAATGTCTTTATAATTTAGAATTGCATATATTCATTATCAATAGAAAAGAGTTGCAAGGTAAGGCAAGAAGATCTAAAAGAAATAATGCCATTAATGTTTCAATATTGATCGATATGCCTATTGATCTATAACTTATAATCTAAATGAGAATGTATTTATTGATTTATGTCATTTTATTTAACAGTTTTACTTTTATATATTATATAATACAAAATATTAGAAGATCTTTATAAATTATATGAAATATAATTGCATTTTAATTTAAATGCAATTATTGTTTATATGAAATAAAAATAAAAAAGAAATTGATTAAATGTAATTATTTTTATTATTTACTTTTCCTTAATCATTTTAAAAGGGATTACTTCAATTACTAGATTGCTTCATAATCTTATGGACAATTGCCATTTGTAAACTTAAATCTCGAATTACTATCACCATCCACTTATTTTAAGAAATGAATAATACTTTTTTGTATAATTGCTTCCAATCGTTTTTCAATGTCGATTGGTTTTTATTATACAGGAATTTCGATTAATTTTGTTTCTTCAATGGTCTATTATTATTGAAGAGGTTAGGGCTGCTCAGGAATGGGATCTACTATATTATCTTCAATCATTCGATCAAGAATGTTTTAAGTATTGAGGAAGACAGATTTTTAAAGAGCATTTTTGTAGTTAATTTTGGTATAGAATTTTTTGAAATTTTCTTAAGCTATTTTTTAGGAGTAAGAAAAGAGCCATTTAGAATTGTTCATCTCTTCCTGGCATAGAATAGAGGCATACTTTTTTAATGACTTAAGTCGATTCTTTATCTTTTGGATGTTGGTGCAAATAAACACAGTCTTTTATTTTACATTACTATCCTTTAAGGAAATTGGTGCAATATTTGGTTGTACCAAAAGATGCCTTCACATATCTATCATAAAGTGGAAATCTTTCACATGCCATAAATTTTAAATATAATGTATACTAAAATTGCCATTGATGCTTCCTATTCATTTCTATATGTAATATAGGCAGCATGTGAGGGTGGATTAAATGTATTGCTCTAAATTACAATTAATTTTTGGATTTATCCATACTATCCAAAATATTCTGGTCTCTTTAGTAGCTTTTGACTTAATGAAATATTTAATACTTCCTCTTTTGCTATAGTAGGTGCTAAGCCTATCACATAAATTAGATTTTTGCATATAATTCTAATTTCAGCCAATAAGGTTTTATTTTAAAGACTTATCTCCTTAAAGTTGTACAAAAACCTTGGTGATTCTTATTGATCATCACTATAATATTCATCTGAATTGTCTGAATTTTACATTTAATTATTTATTATTATCTATATAATCTATATATATCAATGATCTTGAGCTGCTAAAATTTTATTCAATGTCTCCTCTAAAACACTAAGGACATCATTCTCAGTGACCTCTCTCTATACTTTCTCTTCATCTATCTCTTTCTTAATTCTATTCACCACATCCTTCAACATTTCAAATAGACTCTGTTCTCCTTATTATCTACTCACTTTCTCTTATTAAATAATCTAAGATAATCTCTATAATTCTTCAGTCAATCTTGTATTTATATTTTTATCCATCTCGTCTCTTTCCTTTATATTCTGCTGTAACATCTCTTACAATTGTGGCAAATCACTCTTTAATACTTATTCAGTATTCTACCTCTAAACATTCATTTATCTCCTTAATTGATTGATTTCTCTCACTCTTCTCTTAACTGATCTACTCTTTCAATTCTTGGATATCTTTCTCAACCTATTCATTGAACTTCTATTAACTTTCTTCTCTCTATTTGCTTAACTCCTCTAACTTTTCATTTATACTCTCCTCGGCCTTCTTCATATCCTCTATCATTTATTATTCATCCTCTTGCTTTGGTTCTTATTCTTCCAGAACCTATTATACATACTCTAATCCCTCTTTTATTTTAGAGATCTTTCCTTCTAAAGTCTCCCTTAGATCCTTTATAGCTGTCTCCATGATTTCGACTCTTTCTTCTGCTTCCTTTATTCTTGAAGTCTTTAATCAAATAAACATTATATACTTAATCTTTACGTCCCAAAGTTATTTCACTTAATTGTCCAACAATCTTTTCTGCTCTGCTTCTAGTAGGTGAGTAAGGTCTGCTCATGAATAAATTTTATTTTAATTAATATTAATTATCTTATTAGTATATATAAATTCAATCAAGCTATTTCAATTTTATTAAATAGTACATTATTCTTTATCATTAAGTTTAATTTTCAATTATAAATTTAATTAAGATAATTAAGTAGATATATTTATTTTTACAAATTAATATAAATATTTAAAATTCATATTTAAATTGAAATTCCTAATTTTTTGAGATCTTCTATTTTCTTTTTGACTCTAAATTAATTAATTAGATTCTGACCCAAATAAACAGTTTTAATGTGAATCTGAATCTACTTTTAAATAGCATTCATAATCAAATCTAAAAACTTTTCAGTAATAACATTTGATTATAGATATAAAACTTAACAATGTAATTCCATTAATTTCATAGCACCTACATCACTTATACGATTTCTCATTAATTTAATAATTTTAATCTTCTTATTTCTTATTTATTCTTCTAATAGCATTATACCATCATCTCCAAGTTCTTATATATATATTAAATAAATAAATTACCTTATTGTGATAAATCAAGATAATCACCATTACAATTAAATAAAATTGATTCTATTTTTGGATTTAATTTTTTCTTAACAACAGGTTTCTTAGGGGAAGCAGATTGTTATCTACTTAATATTTTAGGGGAAACTTATGCATATTATTATGATGCCCTTTTTTAATGTGGTTATTGTGGACTAATTGTATTTTAAGATATATTATTGGAAGAGATTTGAGATTGACAAGTAGATTCTGGTAGAGATGATCCTAAGAATTCATTATGAGGTGGCTATTCATCAATTTCTTTTAAGAAACTCTATTCTATAATAGATAAATCTTTAAGTATATTAGGTTCATCAAAATAAACTTATTCATATTGATTAAATGTTGGTATTGCAGAGATAATATCTTAAAGATTATTTTAGAATTTAAGTAGATAATCATCTATTTCTTCAAGGATTTAGTTCCCTTATTTATTTGAAGATTCTTAAATTAAAAAAGAATATGGTATCTCTCCATTTTCTTTTGCTTCATAAAATTCTTGAATTTTTTGATTAGATCTAATTTATTATTAATAATAGATACCCAAGTATCCATAAATCAGCTTTATCAATAATTGAAGTGATAGTAAGAGTCTCTTTTTTTAAGAATTGATCTTCTAACTGTTTATACTTTTATTCTATATCTTCAAGTACTTTTTACTATTTAATAAGTATCTAATTAATTATTTCCTATAATGAATAATATTAAGATACTTTAAATTATTCTTCAGCAAGAGTTTATTATTATTTTATACAAAGTCTAATTTAATCATGTATCTTCTTATTAATAAGTGGTAACTTGAGTTACTTAATTTTGTCTTGAATAGTGAGAGTCAAATTTTAAGTCTGAATAAGATTATCCTTGATTGATTTATTTACATACTTAAGAATCAATAATAAAATATACATCAGCATTTTGAATGTTATGTTGTTTATGAATACCAAATAAGGCACAATTTGCACAAATTCTGCATCTATCATCTATACAAATAAGTTCTAGTTGTTTATGGTGTTATGGACACTACTGTAATTTATCTAGATTCCATGTTATATCAATATCTTGACTTTTGCATATGATTCTTAGAACAGCTTGATTTATGGGATATAATGTAAGATCTGTTGGTTAAAGTAATCTAATAAATTGACTTATAGTACCCATCTTCAGGACAGATAATCTTACAAGATTCTTTAATACATCGCATACACATTGAATGACCACATTTTGGTAACATTTAAGGTGTTCGAGTATATCTATCAAAATTCATATTACATTGAGGACAATGGAGTAATTCTTAACTCATTAATTTTATTATATATATATTTGAATTTAACTGAAAAAACTATGGAAAACATATAAGTAGCAGTCCGTATACGTCCTGATCCTGAACCTTCCATTTGGGCTATACATGATCAACATATATTTCTTAATAATTAAATGAAAAAGCCTCCAAATGGATAAGGTCGTACAACTTTTGCATTTGATCACTGTTTTAATTAAGATAGCAAAAATACTGATATCTATTCTAAAGAGGTGAAATCATTAGTACTTGGATCTACAAATGGTATTAATGGTACTATTTTCCTATATGGTCAAACTGGTAGTGGCAAGACATACACAATGTTAGGTAAGGAAAATGATGAAGGTGTATTATTATAGAGTTTTAAGGATTTATTTACTAAAATTGAGGCTGATCTCAATAAAACTTATGTATTACGTTGTTCATATTTTGAAATATACAATGAATAAATATTTGATCTCTTAAAACCATCTTCAAAATTATAAGAAACCTTATAAGTTAATGAAGATTAAAAGAAAGAATTCTATGTGAAAGGATTGATTGAATAATCTGTTTCATCTATAAATGAAATATTTGATGTACTTAAAAGAGGTGAAATTAATCGACACTATGCTTAAACTGCCATGAATCATAATAGTTCAAGATCTCATGCTATATTTCGATTATATGTACAATCAATTACTAATAATTTTATTCGATAATATAGAAGAGAATAATCTTAACATAAATTCCCAACTTTAGAATAATTAGAAGCTGAAAACAATAATTAATTAAAAGGAGCTATGGTAACTGAAAGTGTTCTTAATTTTGTTGATTTAGCTGGATCTGAAAAAGTGTCTAATCATTTTGAAGATGCTGAAATCTAAGAAACTAATCGTAGAGTCAAAGAAGGTCAATATATTAATAAGAGTTTATTCTTTCTTACTTAAGTTATTTATTTAAAGGCTGAAGATAAAGGACATGTACCATTTAGAAATTCTTCTTTAACAAAGATACTTAAATCTAGTTTAGATGGAACATCAAGAACATTAATTATTTTATGTATTAATTCTGCAGCTCTTCATTTTGATTATTCAATTTCTACTTTAAGATTTGGAATGAATGCTAAAAAAATAGAAACTAAAGTATTAGCCAATATTAATTATCAAAATGATGATGAAGCATTAAAAATCTTACTCTCTGATTATGAAAAGAAATTACATGATTTAGAAAAAATTAGAGTTGAAGAAAAAGAAGGATTTGAATAATAACTAAATCAATTATAAAATGAAAATTAATAATTACAAAATAGAATTACTATTTAGAATGCTCAAAATTTCAAATGCATTCCAAAATTATATAAAGAAATTACTTGGGCAGATCGATTTAAATTTGATCTCCATTGTTCTGGTGCAGGAGACATACTAGTTACTAATTAAAAGATTAAAAAACCTCCTTAACATGATTGTTAAGGTAAATTAGTATTAAGTGCTTTAAAAGTAAGTGAATAAAATAGAAAAACACTTATTTCCAATTATGAATTAGTTAAAAATTAATATCTCTAATTAAATTAATTCTATAATTAAAGTAGACTAAAGATTTAATAATAATATGAATAAATTCAATTTCTTAATGTCTAATATAATAAGTTATATAGTTATACATAAGAAATGTAATAATAGTTAAATTTTGATGTTAAATTACTAAATACTTAAGAATTACATCAAATGATTTAGTTTTATTAAAGCTAATTATTAAAATTATAAATTGAATAGTAAGATAGAGAATAGACTAACACTTAGGATTTGAACAATGTATATAATATTGAACAATTTAAATTGATTGATTCAAATTCTTAAAATTAAATTGATGTCTAAGATTATTAATAAATAAATTTAGATGATATTATGTATGCTAATATAGTAGAAGTAGAAATGGTTAAAGAAAATGAAGTTGACTAAAGTATTGAATCTGAAGAATTCTTCAAAATTGAATACCCTACTTATTTACATCATTCAAATAATATTACTAAACCATCTATCAATGAAACATCTTCTTAATAGATTGTTTAGGACTTAAGTGAAATTAACTTTAAAAATGTATTATAAAGCTTTATAAGTGAAATGGATGTTCTACAAACTTCCAATTCAACCCATCATAAAAATAATAGTACCTCATGTAATAAGAAATAAACTGGAAAGTATAAGACACCTGATAAAATGAAAAAATAAAGTACCAGCCAAACTACTATTAGAGGAAAATAGAATATTGAACCTACACGTTAAAGTTTTAACAATATTCCTAAACCAAAGGTAAGACCTAGACCAAGTGGAAATGCAAATGAAGAGTTGTCTATGCTGTTAAACAATGCTGAAATGAGTAAATATTGAATTATTTTTAATTATCATTTATTTATGGAAGAGGCACGTGATTTTTAACATGTTGGTTAAAAGATACTAACAATCGATAAGTTGTGTTATAAGAAGTGTTTGAAGAATTATGAACGAGCTATGAACGTTAAGGAAGAAGCCTGCTTAAGTATTAAACATTTTGATCATAGAAAATTGTTTAGCCAAAGTAATCAATGGAATAGATTTTCTACATAATCTTAATAACAAAGGAGGTTTGGATAGAGCACCATTTAAAACTGAAGGGGGTTTCTGGTCAAAGTGAGAGTTTATTAATATTTATTACTAAAATATGACTGATCAGCCATACTTAAGTCTCTCCAAAGTAAAGAGTTCTCACTCTCATCATGGTTACCATAAGAAGCTGGTATTACAGCTTGATGAAGATGAGTAGTAACATATGCCAATGTTTCGTCAAAATACGAGCAAGAGTAGACATCTTAACAATGGAACTCTCTCAAAATCTAAAATACAGAATATTGCTTAATTGTAAGAGATGTTTAAACAATTCAAACATTTTAAATGCTCACTTCAAACATAGACTCCAGCAATTCTAATGATGAAATCTAGTCAGATCTCTAAGAAACCTCAATCCTAATCAAAGAGCACATTAGATGCAAAAGAGGTTTCATTTGAAGACAAATAGAAAGTAATGATTTAAGCTCGTAAAACAATGTTTCGAATTGTGATGGATAATAAGTTGCGGAGTTAATCAATCAAGGATTATGGATTTAATTTGAGACCTTTGTTCAATCAAGTTATAGAAAAAAATGATAGTGTTTTAGAATAGAAGAGTAATTATTGTATAACTAGCTAGTTCAGGAACAAAGATAAGAAAAGAGGAAGTCTGATCTATTTTCACGCAGTCCATTCTCGAATGCTTACTATGCAACCAAGGCTCTATCTAAAAGATCTCGTATGAATGTATACGAACGTCTTGCACAAAATCTGCCTGCTGATTCACGATTCCACTACGAATGATATTATTATTAAAAAAGATTTAAAATGACCAACGCACAAGAGCGTATGTAGTAAGACTACATTTGGATTCGTGATTAATCTACTGGTGATGCTGATGTGAAGATGCGTACATTCGGACAACACTATCTCTATTATCATGCTCCAAATAAGAGAGAGAGATTGGAAATGATTTGGAGATCCATGGGGAAAGCATATGATTGGGAAATGGAGAAATTTAGAGTGAGTCAATCATTTATATATTCTCTTAGATGCAAAAGAAGTTTATTGATAGAGGCAATAAGAGGAGATTCTTCAAAAATTTCTTCCGATTTATCAAAAATCCATTTGGTTACATCTATTGGAAGACATATCGTATTAGATAACCAAAAGGACGTATCATCACAACAATGCTTGGCTTAGGTGTTATTGGTACTCTTTATAAATACAAAATGGAATCAAGTAATCTAAGCATAATAATAATTAGATTAAATCTAAAAAAGAGAGTATTATCTCTTGACTGCTGGTAAAAACTCTGAAGGAAGTGGTCTTATTAATACAGGATATAATAATGATAAGTAATTATTGCCTTTGATTTTAGATTGGCTCGTCAAGGAATGCCATTGACCCAAATGTTTTACTCTTACCTTCATGCCAAAGACATAGTAGTATCTAGATCTAGAGATTAAAATTATAGAAAGTACTTCGAAATGAGAAAGAAGTATTAAATCAAAGAATGATCTAAATATGTATCATCGTAAAAATTATCCAAAAACAAAATTTCACATAATATTTATAGTAAATCAATCATTTTTATAATAATTAATTACAAATCTCTTTGTTTTTATAAAATTGCTGCACCATACTATTTACATCTTCTCCTCCTTTTTATGATAGATTCTTGAAATCTGATAACACTGAAGTTGCAGCCATACTTAAATTTCTCTATTTTAACATCATATCAATCCATTTCTCAAAGTCTTATTGCATTTTCTCTCTGCTGTGTTTCAATTATGTACTCATTCTTTCTACTTCTGCCTTTAATTACTTCAATTTATCAAATGATTATTTATATCTATATTTTAATAATAATTTTAATTACATATCCTTTTATTTATTATATTCAGCAATTAATTTCTCTTCTTCTGTGCTTACTTAATTAGGATCACTATTTACTAATCCAAGTAATACTTATTCTTTTCTTGTTTATTCTATTTTATCTTTTAATTAACTAATAATATTTCTTTGATTATTAATGAATAACCCTAATTCTTTACTAGTCATCATCTTTTCCTAAAGTTCTTGTTTAAGATCTTCTTAAGCTTATGCTTTCCTATAAGATTTTCTGAACATCTCTAAAGCTGAATTTCGATCAAGTAATTATTCATTAGAAATATTAATTGGTTCAGATAACATACCATTTAATTCTTTAAATTATGCTGTTGTAGTTTTAGTTGTTTAACTCATTGGTTCACTATCTAAACTACCTTGCATAAAATTTTATTTCTTAATTGCAGGTTTTTCAGTTAAAATTTAACTTTGTCTATCAATTTCAGCTTATTTTGGAAATTCTATTGGTTATAAAATACTGGATGTATTAGCTTATTGAATTTCAGGTTATTCTGAAATAGGTCCTTACAATACCAATGATTAATTAGTATTAGAACCTTTACCTTTCTATATTAGATTAAGAAGTATCATAATCTCATTGTCTCTCTATATAATTAATTGTTTTAATCTTAAAACTTCATCATTTAATTATTAAACTTCAACTGTATTATTAGTAATAGTTTATGGTTATTAAACAACAGGTTGTGATGAAGCCTTTTTATTTAAATTTTTAAGCATATGTTTAAGCTAGAAAAAACATTCATTCATTTTAAGATGGTCATTCACAACAAGAATAGCTGCAGGATCATCTGAATTTAAGAATTCATCTACCTTCTTTTTACATTCATCTATTTCATAAGATTCCAAATGATCCTTAATACTTTAACCTTTTATCATGGCTAATTCTGCCTTCAATTATTAATTTTCCCTTTTCAATTTCTCTATGATAATGAATGGATCAACAGCTTCATTTCTAGTTACTTTATTTTTAATATTAGCAACTCTTCCAGCAAATCTACAAGTACATATAGATTCAGGCAGATCTTCAGGTTCACTTGACATAGTAGCAATCATTCTTGTTTTACAATTTCCACCTAAAGAATCTTTTAATACAAGAGTCATTAATGAATCTCTATATGGAATATGGATATTTTCACCATTAGCTTAACGATTTAAACAATCAATAACTAATTCTAGAAAATGCAATGATAAATTGATGCCTGTAGCTTCTCTTTAAAGAATGCCTTCAACTCCTGTTTTTCCTATTCTTTCACTTCCACTGAGATCAACTAAACAAAGTTTAGAAACAGTTTTGACATCTGAAGTTGGTTTACGACATTCTAAAATAACTATAAAAATGCAATGTGATCTTGTAGAAGCATCATTTTTTGGTGTTTCTGCAATAACTCTGTTCTATTCTCCTATAAATAGTAGATTTAATGCATCTTCTTCAGTTTATGCCTTTTTCAATGATAATCCTTATAAAATAGTTTAACCATTTGCAGTTGCCATTGCTTAAACTTTTGGTAAATCATGTAAATTTCTAGATCTATTATCAGCAACTAGTAGATCATATCCAGATCCACCATATATTTCTAAATAACTAATTGTAACATCGATTATCTAATTTGATATTTGAATTTGAATATTACTAATTCTTATTCTCTGCGTGCATAATCATATATATGATATAGTGTACGTGGTATAATACCTGCAGATGACCTAGCTTCAGGATTACCAGTCATTGAATAAGTTTTACCTGATCCTGTTTATCCATAAGCAAATATTGTTCCATTATAACCTTATATTAAATGATCTACTTACCTTCAATAGCTGAATCGACAACATCTTTGGCTATTTTATCAAAGATTTCCTCTTAAGTAGTGTCAGTTGGAAAAACTCCTGCAAAATTGAATGTATGTTTTTCAATTTGATTATTGATATAACCTTGATCTGGATTCTTGGGAATTGTGAATTCAGCTGTACCCTCATCTTTATTAAGTTTAAAGAGATTTGATGGATTTTTAGTTGGACGGACTCTAAGGAACACATCAATAACAGATGATTTTGACATATTTAATTATTAATATTTGAAGGTTTTAGAGGTAAGATGGATAGTTGAGGTGATATGTAGAAGTATATAGACAATTAGAATAAATTAATTAAAATGTTATATTTATTATTGATTCCTGCTCTTGCTTATGTCCAAGAATAATATCTGATGGAAATCTATAATCAGATGAATGGGATTAAGGAGTCCATATCTTAATTAGAATATTACACAGCTCTTGAGAAATTAGAATGGAAATCTCGTTAGGATAAAGAATTTGAAGAGGAAGGGATGACAATTTATTTAGAAAATTTTGCTGATGTGAGTGAGAGTATGCTTACTTTAGGTGTAAAGATTGCTCAAGCAAAGACTCACTTCTGAAAAAAAGGAGAAGGATGGCTTAGAACTCTTTCTTCATGAGACATACTTTAAAGTCATAAATCTTCTAAAACGCCTAATAATAGAAAAAGTATCATTATATTATTCATTACCAAAGGATAAGTTGATTGAGACTGACACAAGAGAATTGGCTAAGATTAAACATCAGGCTAGAGATGATGTCTAAAAGCGCTTTGATGAATTCAACTTTTTACTTTAAAAAATTAAAGAAGGTAAAATTGGACAATTAAATTATTAGTGTTTGATTCTACGAATATTTAAGATATTTTTAAAACTTTAGAATTATTAGAATCTAAGATCATGATTGGTCTTTTTAAATCAAATCCTAGTTAGGAATTAGATTTCTTTATAAAAGGAGTAGATAGATTGTTTAAATTAAGCAATCATTCTAATTCAAGAAATGAAGCTTTACAATTATTAAGTTTAATGCACATAGTCATATAAGAGACACTTATTGGAATGATGAATGAATAGTTAGAATCTTCCTTTGATCTCTTGGATAAAGAACTTTTTTATACTCAATCTAAAAACACTCATTAATAAGCTAAGGAATCTTTGATTAATCTACTTAATAAATTTGAAGGTATTATTAATTAATATCTATTTAAAAGTAACAGGAGCTAAGTTCTGGAATGAGTAATTACAAATAAATGGAAATGAAGATCATTAGATTTAAATGTTTTAGAGTTTTCTTGATTAAGCTATGTTGATGAGTAATCGATCAATTCAATATCATCAACAATTATCAGACACTCTTAGAGCTATGTTGGAACGTTTTCTTTAACGTTGACATTTAGTTAATTAATATTCTGACTCCTTTATTGGAGTAAATAATATATATATATACAATCTATGATAAATATTGTTTTTATTGTGATAAATGGAATTTCTCACTAAAGTGGAGTCCAATTGTTAACAAATGGGTTTCTTCTAAATCCAAACTTAACACCTGAAGTATCGACATCGTCTGTTAATTTATATGGTTTCAATCTGATTTATTCACCTTCAGCAATCTTTTCTTTATTATCAGCGGCAATCCTGTAATATAAAAAATTGAAATTACTATTATTAAACATCATATCTCTCCCATGGAGGTAATTTATCTAAGAAGTTTCTTCTTACATTGCTCCAAAATGCTTCTTCATCTGAACCATGAATATATGGATTATATACCCATCTTCTATCCTTAATTGGTGAAGTCAACTGAATTTATCTTGCCTTTAATTCATATGTATCAAATCATACTGTCAAGATCTCCTTCTCAATGTCTGATAATTTTCTATTCAAAACTTCAAAATTTCTAATAAATCTTTCTTTAGATTCTGTATATCTTGTATTAACCCACATTAAATCATGAGCTAAACCTGAATCACCTCCCTTTCTTCTTGCAGTTGAGTAGTAATCAAATAATTATAGAGTACCAAACACTACCAATGCTCTTGACACCCATAATGAAGAACGATGGAGTCTCAGGTAAGGAATATTATAGGTCCATCTAGTAATCCAACTATTGCAACAATAAGCAACTCCAATTCCCAATACAAATCCTACACCATTATTCTAAAATCCATACCAAAGTTTCTTCCAATATTTCTATGGCCGTACAACCAAGATAACTCTTTTGCTTCCTTTGGACTGAATCCCTCTTCTACCTAAACACAATTTGTTCACATTTTTACTAAGGACTAACAAAGTACATCAGTCTTAAGACGCTTCCAATCGACTGGACCAAAGAATCTCTCGAAAGTGTGAATGATAATTTCCATTTTTTATATTTTATTAATGCCAACGATGATTAATGATTTTATTATAATATAAAATAAGGAAAAGGTATCTTCATACAATATAGTAACACACATTCTTATTACTAATATCAAAGTAATAAGAAACTTATAAACTTTACTTAAAATAATATAATATATTTAATTGAATTTTTATTCATTTAAATATATTATAGAATTAAAGGATTGATATTAATTCCACAGATTTGTTGTATATTTATAATTTTATAATATAATATCATCATGATATTCAGAATCATCTAATGATGATATTAAATTAAAATATAAAAATATAATTAATTTTATATTATATTTTATATAAATCAATATTTCAACTAGATAGAGTATATTAATATTACACTATTTAAATTAAAAGAGAAATAAATAACTATATATTCTAAGATATGAATTTATTAAATAATTTATCTGAATATAAGAATAGATAAAATTGATTCATATATATAGTTTAAATTAAATGATATTAATCAAAAGCATTTTCTATGAACTATTTATGGTCCTGCTTCGTCGTATTCTGATCTTGTAACCCACATTGCTTAAAATGTTGATAGTGATGATAAGATAGATCCACCTATCCAAACTGAAAACTTTCTTTCTGGTGGAGCTACTACTTTGACTTTCATTGAAGATGGTGCCAAATTTGTTAATTCTTTACTTAATCTCTCAGGGATTCCTGGGAACATAGTTGTACCTCCAGACATAACAACATTTCCATATCTATATTATAATTAAATTTAAAATTTACAAGTCTTTTCTAACATCAATATCTGCCTTCATGATTGATTTAAATGTTAATTCATGAATTCCTGGCACTTCTAATCCAATAAAGTTTGGTTTAAATAATAATTCTGGACATCTGAATCTTTAACTTTGAATGACTACAACATTTCCATCTGGCAATTCATAAGGTCTATTATTAGCAGCACTATCTTTATATGTTTTCATTTCTGCATCATAATCTAATGCAACATAACATAATCTCTCTTTTAAGTCTCTGGCTATTTCTAATTCAGCTGATGAAGTAAATGATATTCCCAATTCATTTAAAATATTTACAAGATATTAAGTACAAGCTCTTCCTGCCAAATCTATTCTTTAAATGGCATGAGGAAGAGAATAACCTTCAAAAATAGGTACAGTGTGTGTTACACCATCTCCTGAATCTACCACTACTCCTGTTGTTCTTCCTGAAGCATATAAAGATAGAACAGCTTAAATTTAAACATAGAATGATGGAACATTAAATGTTTCAAACAATATCTAAGTCATTTTCTCTCTATTAACTTTTGGATTCATTGGAGCTTCAGTTAAAAGAGCTGGATGATCTTCTGGAGATACTCTTAATTCATTAAAGAATGCATGATGCCATATTCTTTCCATATCTAAATTATATATTAAACTCCTTACCATCCCAATTATTTACAATTCCATTATCAATTGGATACTTTAAAGACAAAACACCTCTTCTAGCTTATGCTTCATCTCCAACATAAGCTTCCTTTGTATCCATACCCACCATTATTCCTTAATGTTTGGGTCTTCCAACTATGGCTGGGAAACAACATCTTGGAGCATCATCTCCTGCAATTCCTGCTTTGCATTAACCAGAACCATTATCTATAACTACTGCTGGATGTTCTTCACTCATTATTATTCTAATTATTCCAATCCTAATCAAGATTATTGGATTTCAACTAATCTTCTAATATCCATTCTGATGAATTCTTTCAATTCTAAAAATTTATGGTTATTTTATCTCTACAAGTTATTATAATAACCTAAAATTAAATATAAAAATTATAATTAATTAGATTTTTTTTTAAATAAGTTACTTAAAATTCTTATTTAATTTCTTTATTTTGCAATTCCATAGATAAAATTTGTCAAAAAAAATACTCTTTACTATTTTTAATTATTAATAGATTAATAATTGGTTAGAATAAAAAAATATTTTGCTAATATACTATTGGGATTGCTGCATACGAATTAGGTTTAGGCATGATTTTAGAAATGAAGTAGTTACATCTAAGAATCTTAAAAATTATCCTTAGATTAGTTATTTATAGCTATTGAATGGAGCAGTATAATCTTTGATTTAGAATAGTTTTAATTTGTAAACCACATTAATGTTTATTATAAATTTAATGTACTAGAAGGTATGAGTTTAAAAATAAAATTTTTTAATACTGTATTAGATACATTTGATTTGGAATATTTTCTAAATTCTATTGGTGGCAAAATATTATTAATTTTTTTAAGAAGAAGCATCTATTTACAAAATATCAAAATAATATGGAGTTCTATTTTATAATAATAAATATCTTAACATATTATAATTATAGTATAAAAAAATTATTAAATAAAGTAAGACTTAAATTCTATTAATAAAATTAGTATGAAATTTATATATTTCATAGTTGATATAATTTATCTTGTTGGAATCCTACGAATATTTATTCCATTGCTTTGCCCAATTAGAAACCGAAATCATTCCAATTTCCCTACTTCCAATCATCAACAGCTGCAAATATCTACAAAAATCTAATATATAAATACCTCTTAGTAAATATCCTTTCCATTAATAATTAAATCTTTTCCAATATGATAGATGAATGAAGTTGGATTTTATAAGGCTTCAATTAATTCTTTGATTTTTTCAGCTAACTTTAAAGCTTCTTAAGAAGAAGACTAACAAGTCTCTAGAGCTTTAGGGAATTCAGAGAGACCTTCAACAAATGATTATAAAGCCTAGATGACACTTGAGACAGAACCATCTTCTAAGAGTCTAACAGCTTTTTCAAAATCTATCACAATTCCAGCAGCAACATTTAAACATGCTTTAATGTCTTTTGCTTTAATTCCACTTGCATCTACAATTCCATCTAATAATCCTTCAAATATTATTCCAATGACTTCATCATCAAGAATAACAGCCTCAATATTTTTTGTTTCTTTAAGTAATTAAACCAAAACAAATCCAATCTATTTTCCAAAATCTTCATAAATTTCTGATTTCCAATCTTTTATAGCAGTGTCTAAGATAATATACACTAATTACTGATTTCCTGATAGATATCTAGCCCATTAACAATTAAATTATAACCGATTTTATATGAGAATGTCCAAGGGTTTCTTAATTGTTCAAGCATATTTGTGAGAAGCTCTATAAATAAATATGATATATACTTGATAAAGCCACCATTTCCTCAGATCCAGATTCACATGCAGTGATTGCATCTGGAATTTATTGAATGGCTATTCCAATTAATTTAATTCCTTCTTTGACTCCATCAAAAGTTTAAGTTTCTAAATTTGTGATAGCTTTCACAATGTTATTAATTAATTCTTCTGAATCATTTAAGCAAGACACAATTTCTTTTACTTCTACATGATCATCAACTTAAACTCCTTCTACAACTCCTTTAACAATTAAATAAACATCTTTAGCATGTATGTCTACCGATTAAGAATTACCTAACAGTGAGAGTGTTAAGACTATTAACAATGTTACTTTCATATGTTTAAATTTTATAATAATGATTAAGATATAATCAATTATAATCAGTTAATAATTCATATTAAATATATAACGATTATACTTAATATAATTTTGAAACATATAGAAAATTAGGAATAATATACATTTTGGTTTTTATAAATAATGTTGATTGAGTATTAACATTACTAAATGGATAGAGTATATGTCTATTAATTTAATTGATTTTTCAAATAATGATTATTTTTTTTAATTCAGTTAATAACTCATTAATTTATATTTATCTGTCTTATTCTGTATTTTTAATATTTATTAGTAATCATTATTAAAAAACAATCTCTCTTTCAAATTATCATGATTAGTTAATTATAAATTCAATATCTGTCAATAATTTTTAGATTTAAAGTAAATTTCTGCTCATACCATTTCCTTTCTATCTTAAATCACTTTGCAAATTCTGTAAACTTATTTAAAATGTTGCTTAATTTTATTTTTTATTCATAATTAATTTTAATAATTGAATTTCATCAAAAAATTTAATAAATAATTAATATATAGTAATTTTAAATACGATTCAAATAACATGAATGATAAATTTCAATCAACAGGTTTGAATTTGTTCAACATATATAGTATCTTAATCCTTGACTCCAATCTCCTCCAAAGTCTTATCTGGTTTAAGCGTATTATTGTTAAAAGTAAGTTTTATTTGATCTTTTATTTATTTTTAATTTTTTATGTATTCAATTATTTCTTTAATTTTTGTTTCCCATTAAAATTAAATAGTTTAATTCCAATTATTTGATATTAATTTGATGTTTGGTTGCTCTTTTTCATTATTTTTATTCAATTTTATATCTGTTATCTCTTTAATTTTAATTGCTTTACTTTTACCTTGTTAGTTTTATTATTATTATTATTATTATTATTATTATGATTATTAGTATTACTTTGATTGAATTTATTAATTAATCTAATTATTTTAAATTCCTTATTAATAACCTTATTATTGCAATTATTGATTGGTTAAATTCGTTTATTCTGTAATTTTTATTTATTTCTCCTAAATTTCTAAACACTATTTATTCTACAGTTTCAGATCTTTCAATTACAATTTTGTGTCCATTTTCACTCCATTTATAATGATATCAAAATCATTTTCTATCTCATATGATTTTTTTATCTAAAATTTTAATTCTTCTCCTGAAGTATCTAAGCTTACCTCTAAATTTTCCATCTAACCCTTATACACAATACACAATTATAAAATAACAAGTTCAACAATAATTTAGGATTTTTATTTAATTTCATTTTCTTTAAGAGTTTATTTAGGATTTAAAATTTTTCCTTAACTCATCAATTATATATCTTAATTTAAAGATAATTAAGACTTTAAACTGTTAATTAATGTATCTACTAAAGTATTTCCTCTAAGCATCTTCTCTATTTATTAATTTTAAAAAATAATTAAGACCTGAATGAATGAATCTGATATTATAGGTTCATCTATAATTTTGATTTTATCATCTATTTTATCAATTAGAATATTGCACTATAATTAACAACCATTTGGTATTCCCTCTTATGCAAAAGTACTTTGTTAATTTAAGATTCTATTTTAATAAACCAATTAAATTTTATTTTAACAATTCAAATTATTACTAATAGTTTTCTATAAATCTTAGATTAATGAATTATAACTAATTTAATATGAAATTATTTATTATGAAGGTTAAAGAGATACTTAAATATTAATTAAATCATTTTATGTTGATAGCTTATTTTAATTAGGATAAAAACGTTGAATTATTAATTATGTTCCACTTTGGATATTTTATTATTTTAATGATTAATTATTTTGTAATTATTATCCATTCTGTAATGTTAATTGAATATTTTACAATTAAAAATTAGATTCAATTTATTAAATAAGTTCTTATATTATTGTTTCTTAATCAACTTCAATTTTTTCCAATTTGAATCCAATCTTAAGATTTAAGACCAATATTGTATTATTCTATTTAGTAACAACATTTAATATAGAATTTTCTTTAACATTTAATTAAGTGATAGTTTAATTTTAAGGTAACATATGTGAATCCATCATTAAATCAATATTAGTTAAATTATTTTAGATTTATAAAAGGTCAATGATCTCACTAATTAATGTATTGGTAGCCACTGACATTTCAAATTTTTATCCATTATATTCTATAAAAATCTTAACATATGATAATGAATTTGAATATAATTCCTTAAGTAAAATAGTTAAAGTAAAGTTTTAATTGAAATCAACATCAATTAATTTTTGATCTTATAACAATATCTTTTTATCATTTAAAATACAAATTTCTTAATTTATTTTAAAAAGAGATTTAACTTTCTCTTCTAATTCAAAAATTTTGCTATATATATCAATAGCAAGAATTTTTTCCTGTTATTGATATTTTAGTTTCAAATTAATCATTTATTTTGGTTAATTTAATTAGTTAAGCATTTTTACTACTATTGTAGAATTTGCATCTATTTAATTCTATTTTAGTTAAGCTAATTTTTCAAGTATTTGATCTTTGCATATAAGTTTAAAAGAATCTTTACTTAAGGAAAACTATTTCTCAGCTTAATCATATAAAACATAATTTGAGTCATCCAAATAAACATAGGCAATTTTTATTTCATTATTATAAACCAACTTAATTCCCTGAAGTTATCTAACTTATTCATTTTTTTTGAGTTATAATGTATCATTTACAAACTTAACATAATTTTATATTCTTGTTTCTTTATTAAGTTCTATTCCATTTAAATATAAACTTAATTGTTAATTTAGTTCTTTCAATTTGTTCTTTTAAATTATGATATCAATAACTTCTGACACCGAACTACTTTTATTTACTTAAAATATTTGTGGTTTTGATCCAAATATTTCGATTCTTAGATTCATAAAAAAAATATTTAATTATTTTTATTATTAGTATTGAATATAAGTCATTATTTGTTTATATACTAATCCAAAAATATATATATAAATATTTATTCATTTTCTATTAAAATTATATTGATTTTAATCAAAATCACAAAATAAATATTTAAATATTCTATGATTTCTAATCAATTTATTCAGTTCTATTAAAATTAATTTACTATATTTCTTCTACTTATTTTAACCCTCATTGCACCTCCTCATTTAATATACTTTTTATTTTTTTATTTTTTATTTCTAGACTTATTTTTTTTTGCTATTTTCTCAATCTAAATGAATTTAGATTCTTAACTTAAGTTTAGATTTATCTGTTTAACTTGTGAATCCTTACTATTTGAATACAATTATATTTATCATGTATTTAATTATTATTAATAAATGATTTCTTTGTAAAATATTCTATATCTAAAGAGATGGGATAAACTTAATGATACTATGCTTGTCTGATGCTTTTCATTATATCTACACATCCATTCATGTTTTCTAAATAGATTCATCTCTTGTTTCTTAGGAAATATTATATTTCCTTTGGATTCAACCTATGGATTAGCTCTAATTATGAAAACTAGAGTTAAGAGAAATGAAAATCAAAGAATTCTAATATATATCCTACTTCATCTATATAATTAAATCATCATCATTAAATAGTAGTTACAATAGAAATTTTTTTAGTTCTTATGGTTAATAAATCTATTTTAAACAACATCTCCTCACTCTAGTTATTTTGTATTTTAATAGAATTCTATTTCTTATTTGATAATCCTTCTTTTTAAATTGATATGATCAAAATTTAATAAAATAAATGTATCAATGCTTACTATTTATATTTTCAAACCATTCCCAACATTTTAGTTATTCATTTAGTATAGAAGTTCAAAAAACAACACTTTTTTTTTATCTATTCATTTGTTTTCTAATTTTATATGACAATATATCAATGTACTCATTTAAATCTTTCAAATCCTTCTTAAATAAATAAATTCTAAGATTAATCCTCAATAATAAAAATAATTATCATTCTACCAAAAACTTTCTATATAGTAACATTATGATGTAATGAACATATTAAACCAATATACAAATTTTATCTTTCTTTGATATGTTTAAAATATTTAATTTATAAGAATTAATTTAATAATTTAAATATAAATATCCAAATTACTTTATATCATATATTTTATATATATTTATTCTTTAAGTCCCTTTTATTAAAATAAATCATGAACTCTACTGTTCATATTAAGAAATCTCAATATTCGTTATAGAATTAAATACTAAAATTTAATTAAAACTTTGGTTTAAATCAGTATATTTTTTAATTCTTTTTTATTTATGATTTATCCATATATATATTATAATATTCATAAAGTATTGAAAAGGAACTGTCTCCAAAATTTATAAAATCCAGATAAAAATATAACCTAATTTCATCTTTTAGGTTTTTGTTTGATAAAACTATATTTTTAAGGAATAAACATAATTAATTTAGATATTAATATTTTTAAAATAGATGGCACCAATGATTAGCTTTCTCAAAATAATTTTTCTTAATTCAATATTTTACCAAAATTGTCATACAAACCTAGAATCAGATTGTAGATATTAAGAATTTAATGTTTAAGGAATTACTACTTCAACTGTAGTGAAGTGTGGCTCAGATTCGAAAAATGTCTATATGGGTCCATTTGGAGAAGGCTCTATTGTTACAAAGACCTTTTCAAATATTCCTCCAAATATTTAAATCGAACTTAAGTTTAAAATTGCTAAGATAGACTCGTGGGATTCAGAAACACTTACGATTTGGCTTAATGATTAATAGCTGGAACATTACAGTTTTACTTCTCATTAAGGAACTCATATTTGTTAACTTTCTGAATATGAAGATTTGATTATTCAAATTGCAAAAACTTTTTAAACTACAACAAGAGGTCTTACATTAAAATTTAAAGATACTTTAGACTAGGCATCGACTGATGGTTATATATATTATAATTTTAGAATCTTGGGGATTGGGAGATGTATTTCTGAGGGTTATCAATCCATGTGTTAATTTTTATAGTGAATGTAATTATTAAGGGGAAATATTTACAATATGTAAAGGCGGATAAGTAATTTTATAAAGAAATATCCCTTTTGAAATTAAATCCATCTCATTTGATCCTAGCATTATGATAAAAATTAAGGGTCCCAATTACTATGGAGGAGTTCTTAAAGATATAACTACATCAGAGCCTTGTTTAGATAGTTATAAAGTATTTTTAAAAGTAAATTATCAATAGTTTCCTAAATAAGTTCAACCAGCTTGAAGAAAACTTATTTTTTTATTTTTAAGTTATTTTATTGATTACCAAAATAACGGTTTTAATGATAAATTTATATTTTATCAGATTGCCTTTTTTTATTATGCAATCTATACAAAATCAATTAGAGAGCTTATTGATAACCATATTCAATAATTATCTAATATTATCTTTATATTTTGAACTTTTAAAAATATTATTTTTCTCATGAAAAAAGTGAATTTTATGGATTATTTTTATAGATTCTTAGGATTGTATTCTATCACTTTATATTAAATTTCAATATCTCAAAATATATTCAAATCATTATACATTCATTAAAATATATTAATCTTTAGTAATTGAAATACATAATTATTGGTTAATTTAGGATATCCACCCCTATAAAATTTTACCTACATATACTTTATTTTCGTATTTGTTTTAAATAATTACTTTTTAAGCCATAATTTAAAAGTTATAATTGATTAAAATGAGTATGAATTCTTTAATTAAATAATGAATCTTATATTTTTGATTTTCTTTTAAGGAAAATTGCAAATAAAGTTTAAATTAAACATATAAAATACTTATACATATTCAAGAGAATTAAAATTACTTTGCTATTAATGAATCTTGATTAGGATAATTATATAAAATATTTAAAAACAAAAATTAAATTCCTAAACATTATAAAATTTGCTTTAAAAAAAATGAGAAACAATAAAATTATAATATTTTAAATAATCTATTATTTACCAATCAATATTTAATGAATGATTGGTGTTTTTGTAATTAATTAGCTTATCTTTATTTTTATTATAAACGAGACATTATATTTGGGAGAAAATGAATAAGACTTCTTATTATTTTTAATTAAATCAGAAAAAAAATTAATTTTTATTCTAATTCACATTTTATTTTATTCCATCTTTAAAAATACTTAATCCAAAAAATAGTTGTTTATGGATTTTTATTTTAAATATTTAATTAAAATTTTTTTTGTTGTATTTATAATTGAGATATATGAATAAATAATTTAAATTATATTTGTAATTGTAAGAAAATAAATTTGAAATAATGCAATTAAATAGTTTTAAATTGATAACTATATTTTTAGAAATGATTATACTAATTATGATTAAGTTTTAGTATATATTAATAAATACTACTTATTAATATCAAACAAGATGAGAAATTAATATAATATATTTAAATAAACATATTATAGTACTGAATGATAATTGTATAAATATAACAATTGAATTAAAATGAAAATCAATAGAGTTTGACATAATTTCAGAGAAGGCACTTTTATAACTCACCTATAAAACTTTTGGTTATTTCTGTTATTTCTGGAAATAAATTTATAGATGAGATAAGTTAATTCAATTCTTCTATTTTTTGATTGTCAGGTTTTAGTATTATATTTTTCAATTATTAAGTAGTGTCTTAATTATTAGGGTTCAATTCTTAACTTTCTTTTCTTTCAAACAGCTTATTTCTTAAATGTTTATAATATCTGTTTTTCACCATACTATATGATTTACTAGGAAAATAAGTAGCTATTTTAACAAATTTAGGTCCTAATTCTTTAACATATTAAAGAATGCTTTCGTCTTCTTCTTTAGTAAATTAAGAGTTTTATGAGAATTTATGTATTTTATAATAGGATAATTCTCTCTTTCTTTTATTTTGATTAGTTGATTATGAGGATCGTCTTGGTGGAGAGTATTCTTCATATCGCCAAGTTTTTGAAGGTATACGCTTTTCTCTTTGCATAAATTAATTTAATATATGAATTAATGAAACCTAATGTTCTTCAACCTATAAACTGTTGAAATAGTTCATTCAGTTTATTGCTCTAAATTTTATCAACAGATTTCATCATCCATATGATCATATTATTATACTGAAATTTGAGTAACATATATATTACAATCTTATACTGCAAACTATACTTTTTATAAAATTGCATGATATAATAATAATAGAAAATATATCTAAATTGTAAACTATAGTATTTAGATAATATTACTATTAGAAAATATCTTTAATTATTTAAGGATCAACATTAAGGTAAATCTATTAAATTGTTAGTAATGAAGTAATTTTTAAATTAATAATCTATTTTAAGATAATAAATTAGTACATTTAAGGTAATATTGAATTAATTATATATATAAATATATTTAATCAAAAGATAGTGCATGGATCACATGTTCTATTCTTTTTATCTTTATTCTTAAAAGAATCTATTGAAACATTTTCATGTTCATCAAATTATTTGAAATCAAATGCTGAATTCAATTTATTTTCTTATGACTTTCTTAATGCATAAGATCTAGAACAAGAATCAGAATTTAGTGTAAGCTTTTTATATTAATATAAATATTACCTGCAATAAAGCATGCTTACCTTTATAAACTCTTACTTTTTGTCTATCAGGACTAAGGGAAGCATTAAGTTAATCTTCAGGTAATGATTCATTAGTTTTTCTTTAATCTAATTATTATTCAATTTCTTTAATTTTTTAAGTATAATATTCCTCTTTTTCTTTTTTGGATTATTTGAGTTATTCAATTTCATTTTTTAATTAATTTAATTAATTCTTAATTAGATTTGGTGGTTTTATTTCACTTCTCTTTCTTTTTAATGTAGAAGTTCTACCCATATAATATT